AAGCTTTACATTGTTGTATGGTTTGTTAGGATAGGGCAATATTTAGCTATTATTTGATATAAATATTTATTTATATCAGTCTATCCCTGTTTGGTGAATACAGTATGTTCAGCAATATCTCTCAAACCCTGATTATATCAGTATTAGTCAGTTAAAAATGATGCAAGTGTTTAAGATTGATTACAGCAGTGTGTAAATGAATCAAACGGATGTATAGAATGAAGTGTGTGTGTTCTGTACGGTGTCAACATTGTGTTTTGTTATAGTGTTTTAAAGTTTTGGATGAAGTGTTTTATTTTGCAAAAGTTCTGGTGTGTTCTGCTGTTTGTGTGTGTGTGTGTGTGGATGTGTAAATTGTGTGTAGTGTTTTGACAAAATGAGTTTTACTTTCAAAATTGTGCTTAAGCAATCAGAAAAAAACTGTAAGCACAATTGTTGAAATGAATAATTATTTTGCCAAAACACTACACACAATTTACAAATCCACACACACAAACAGTAGAACACATCAGTTCTTTTGCAAAATAAAACACTTCATTCAAAACCTTACAACAAAATAGCAAAACAATTTTAACACTGTACGGAACACACACGCTTCATTCAAGAATAATTTGTTTGCTTCAATTACACACTGCTGTTATCAATCTTAATCACTTGTAACATTTCTAAGTTGCTTATAATTATATAATATGGGGTTAATTTTTTCAGAGATACTGCTATAAAGTACATGGACATACTGTATTCACCAAACAGCAAACCAGCAATGCATACTGATGAAAATATTTACTTATCTCCATTGCATTCAATTTCTTCTTGCGAGGAATGCATTGTACACTGAAAACCAGAGCGGTCTCAATACTTTATAGTGCACAAATAAAAACACTGAAACTGTTCCGGGGGTTATTTTATTATTAATTCTCTGTAATATTGTTGAAACTCGTGTTTATATTCCTCTTGTTCCTCTGTGAGTAAAGCACTCTTTCCTCCACATTCTCCGCCCTTAATCTAGATACATCTTACTGTAAATGTCACAGGATAACACACCAGTTTCAAACATAAATACAGTGATAAATACCGAATTCTGTAGTACTGATAGCAAAATATTGCTCTATAATAACAAACCATAGAGCAATGTACAGCTTATTTATTCAGCTTTCTGGTGATGTATTTCAATATCCAAAAGATTCTTCCTCACCCCGTCATCTTTTTACCAATATTCCTTCCTTAAGTGCTCCCTCTTCCCGTGACATTGACTTCCATATTTATTGAACACTAGTATTTATAGCTACAGTACACTACTGAAGACTAATATTCTATAACCAAACTATCCCATTGCTTTTATATTGTTGTTAAAGCTGATTGAAGGCCTTTGCTTTGAAATTGCAAGGAAATGACATTATGATACATTTCTGTGTCACAAGTGTGTTTGGTGATTTGCATATCACTGTGTGTAATGTTTTGCAAAATGTGTGAAGCTGACATTGTGCTTACAGTTGTGCAGATCTAGCTTTGTGTTTTGCTCCTGGAGTGTACCGTTTTGCTAATAGTGGGAAAAGTTTAATTTTAGTGTGTTAGCAATCGTAAAAACAACTCATGAAGAAAATAAGAAACCACTTGCAATTACAAAAAACATCTCAGTTTGACAGCACAATGCAAACACATAAAAAACACACTGTATTTTTGCACAACACAAACATTAATAAAATGCGCAGAATTTTCTCACAACACAACAGAAATGTTTCAAGGAGAGCCTAAAATGTGACGGACCCGGCTATTTAGGTTATGGTTATTTAGTCTAATAAATACTAAAGACGGGCGATGCAGTAGCGCAGTAGGCACTGCTGTCGTTTCACAGCAAGAAGGTCGCTGGGTAGCTGGTTCGATCCTCGGCTCAGGATCAGGAAGGGCATCCGCTGCGTAAAAAATGTGCTGGATAAGTTGGCGGCTCGTTCCGCTGTGGTGACCCCGGATAAAAAAAGGGACTAAGCCGACAAGAAAATGAATAAATGAATGAATACTAAAGAAGGACAAGGGAATTGCTATATCAAAATAAACAAAAAGATCTCACCTTTTAAAAATCATCAACAACTTTACAGAGAATTATTCCCGCACAGCGGCGTCTGTCATGTTTTTGAGTCCCCTTGAAACTATTCTGATGTGTTCCGATGTTTTCGTGTTGTGAGAAATGCAGTGTGTTATTAATGTTTGTGTTGTGTGAAAATGCAGCGTGTTTTTAAATGCGTATGCATGCGTTGTGAGGATTAGCAGCAGGTGTGCTTTCAAAGGAATGAAGATCTTTTCTTAATTAGCTGGTGTTTATTGTAATTGCATGCGTTTTCTTAAAATGCAGCACGTTATGCTCTTTCGGCCACCATACAAATCAACTCTAACCAACAAACCTAATCTGGCAAACCCTAACAAAAGGGTAAAGATTTGTACATGATTTAACATGATTAATACGTAAAGTGTCACTACAACAAGAGTTTGGAAGATTGTGAATGTAAAATAATTTCCTCAGAATTTTTCCAGGTAGGTGGCTGAAAACATGGGAGAGCTACAAAGTCCAAGATAAATTCATAGATCAAATAGAGCCTCCAGAACAGTGGCGATGGACCAGGCCTGCGTTTCACAACTGAATGGACAGTACTGTCCGTTTTCATTGGTCAGCTCAGGTAAACCCTTCCAAGGTGATCTGGATCAAAGAGAACACATACATGTGTAAACACTGAGTAAATGACTCATCTGCTGTATTACAGCACAGCATGCTATGAGTACAGATGGTTTTAAAACAAATATAGATGTTTTGTTTTAGTTGCTGAAGTAACTGAAGCACAACTGTAAAGGGGGTGGAGAGCAGAAGCTAATTTGCATTTGAGGTAACACAAAGCTTTTTTTTAATTAATAGTCCAATCAAAGGAGAAAAAGTCTTTGCACATCTCAGAAAAATTGGTGCAGAGGTAATATTCCTTCAGGAAACACACATTAAAATATCAAACAAGGTTTAGTATTATAGCTCAATGGATGTCTCAAGTCTACCAAAATTTTTCTACTAAAGCCAAAGGAGTAGCGATTATTATTAGGGATATCCAGATCCAATCACATGACTGGAAATCGAGCCTGCTCACGTGGTTTCAGACTCGATCGGAATGGGATGTTACCTCCCAATCAGGACTCAAATATATGTATGCAGACGCGGACAATTCGATATCGGTTAAGTATAATAAAAATTTAATATAAATTATAACCGGTTATTATGTACTGACGTCCTTTATCTCATATGCACTATGTTGCAGTAGAACACTATGGCGAGGGAGGTGAGCACGAGCCATTAAAACACAAACTCTGCACAATTTACTGCGTGTGTTTGCTGGACAGTCATTCATTTGACACTAAGTTACAGTAGAAGCCCCTATTTCACTCCCATGGAGAAAATGTAAGTAAACTAAATTTTTCTCTCTCTCTCTCACTGTATCCCCTTTGACCTGCTGGCGTGATGTTTCCTCTTTCAGCTGTTATAGTGATACTTTTTGCTGGGTCAATCAATAAAATTGGTTCGGTTTTGTGAAGGAGGAGGATGGGTCAGTTGATTGACTGGTAGCCCAGTCGGCCGTTCAGTCAGTCAGTCAGATGGTCGGTCGACAGTGGCCTCTGCTGGGTTTACGCGAGAACAGCACAGAAGTAAACGGCACTTGCGAAAGAAACAGCGAATTTGCGAAAACAAAAACTGCACAAACACATACCTCCCGGACGCATTTCACGGTCTCCAGAAACATTCACAGGACTTCGTTTTCAGAATGAGCCTGGTTTGCACAGAAGTGCTCTGTTTGTTAACAGATTGTTGAATGTTAAAATAAGGTGAATTAAATTAAAAATAAGGAACATCCTAGATCTGTTTCGCTTCTTTATTCTTTTTTGATGTATTATAAAAGTATCAGATTGGGTTTCGGTATCGGTAGATACTCAAAATCAAATGACTCTGGCTCATTGGCAAAAAACAGATCAGGACACCCCTAATTATTATCAAAAAATCGGTTGTCTTTATTTATAAACAAAAAATTAATGATATAAATGGAAAATACTTGATGGTTATTGGGGAAATTAATTTATTATTCATCACTTTTGGGTGAATCTGTGGCGCAGTAGGTAGTGCTGTCACCTGACAACAAGAAGGTCGCTGGTTTGAGCCTTGGCTGGGTCAGTTGGCGTTTCTGTGTGGAGTTTGCATGTTCTCTCCACGTTTGCGTGGGTTTCCTCCGGAAGGTCCGGTTTCACCCAGAGTACAAAGACATGCAGTACAGGTGAATTGGGTAGGCTATATTGTCCGTAGTGTATTGCGTAAAACATATGCTGGATAAATCGGCAGTTCATTCCGCGGTGGCGACCCCAGATTAATAAAGGGACTAAGCCGAAAAGAAAATGAATGAGCGAATCCATAATTTTAACAAATATTTATGGGCCTAAGTTTGACTATCATTCATATTTTTGAGAAAATCTTTAAAAAAAGCATCCCCCCCCCCCCAAATGACATTTACAGCAGGTTATAATAAATGATCTGAGATATTTTGAGCTGAAAGTTCACAGACACATTCTAAGAACACCTGACACTAGAGCAGGAGTGTCAAACTTTGAGTTTAGTTCCAACCCTGCCCCAACACACAATGTAGCTCAAATATACGCCTGAAGGATGTAGTTGGATCAGGTGTTTAATTGTTAGTGGAGAGAAACTGAGTTTGACACCTCTGCCTTACATTTTGTTAAAAAAAAAAAAAAAAACACACGATCTGACCCACTTTTTGGTTTTGTTTTGTTTGGTAATACCTTTCTAAATGGGTGTGAAGTCTAGACAGAACATTCTTGACCAGGAACACGCTTTGATTGTACTTCTCTTGGCCCATTTTCCTTCCAAAATAAAGTTTGGCTCTTAAGAAGTATCCAACCAGCCAAATCCATTCCTGCAAACAAATTTAATTATGCATGTATTACAAATCTATTACATCCAAAGCAATGTATTGATGTCAGTGTATAAACACATACAGGTCCTTGGTGATAATTGAATCCTTTTGCACGGTTGTAGTCATCATTGTCCAGGGCGTTGTCATACACACCACAGTACACCAGATCACTGTTAGACAAACACAGAGACACATAAATCAAACACTTCTACATGGAAACTATTCTACATGGGAACTTTTCCAAAGTGATCTGTGATATTTATCATGCCAAGTAAAATCATAGATGTTGTTTTTGCAACTTAAAGGTCTTATGAAGTGAAGTTTATTTATAAACAAATTTTGAGAGGATCCTATGCTTATGATTGTTCACAGCTGTTCCAACTTTAGCTAATGGCTAATTATCCTATCAGATGATCCTTAACTCACTATAAATGACCAGACTTTTCTCAACTCAATATCTTCCTCTTGAATAAACCCCCCCACCCAACCCTACTTTCCCTACTTTCAAACGGGCGACACGGTGGCCAGTGATTAGCGCTGTTACCTCACAGCAAGAATGCCCCTAGCTTAATTCCCTTCCAAACCAAGCAACATTTCTGTGCGGAGTTTTGCTCGTTCTCCCCGAGATCTCGTGGGTTTTCCCCGGTTCCTCCAGTTTCCACCCACAGTTAAAAAACAAGTACCCTAAACAATTAATCCAAAATATTTTAGCCAAGCTCTTAGTACACCTACTCAGCATCCCTATCTGACACTTAGCTACAATAAGCAGGAGAGAGAGTCATCGAGATCCACCTGAGCTCAAACTCCCCTTTCGTTCTGCAACTGGAGGGAGCCCAGGGCTCGGGGATCTTATAAGCTAAGGACTCTCTCCCGGGACAGCACGCCAAACAAGCTTTATTATCAATCATCAGCTAAGTGTGAACTCTTGAAATGCTTTAAAATGTGCATTTGTTTTGTTCCATGTTTGACATTATGTCAACTGACACATGAAGACAGGGCAGGGCATATAGTAGCCCATACGCTGCTCGATTATGGGAAAAATCATAATCACGATTACTTTGGTGATAATTGAAATCACGATTATTCAAACTGATTATCATTTGAAGTCAAAATTATTCGCCATTCTGTGAATTTTTTTTATATTTAAATATTTCCCAAACTATGTTTAACAGAGGAATGTTTTATAGTATTTCCTTTCATATTTTTTTCTTCTGGAGAAAGGCTGATTTGTTTTATTTCGACTAGAATAAAAGCAGGTTTAAATATTTTGAAACCTATTTACTGTAAATAGCTCAATACTATTAGCCCCTTTAAGCAATTTATATTTTTGATTGTCTGCAGAAGAAACTATTGTTATATACAATGACTTGCCTAATTACACTAATTAAGCCTTTGAATGTCACTTTAAGCTGAATAGTAGTGTCTTGAAAAATATCTAGAAAATATTATGTACTCTCATCATATCAAAGATAAATATTAGATATTAGAAATGAGTTATTAAATCTTTTATGTTTAAACTGTGCTTTAAGCATCTTCACTGCAAGGAAAAAAACTAGCTACAGCAGTCCTTCAGTCAAGAGCAGTGAGGGATTTTTTCCTTATGTTGTTTGATCAATAATAAAAACAGTCGGCCGCAGGGATATTGCGCACTGTCACTTTAAGAATAGAGTGGCTGTGATATGGTTTCTCTTTCACATGTCTTTTGATTCTCAAATTGTTTGTTTATTACACAAATGAGCGTTAATATAAATAATCACTAAACATCACGCTCTGACACAAATGTGCATGTATTTGACCATTAAAGCGCTCACATTAAGATGGTCTTAGATGTGTGTGCTTTGCATGTCTACGAACCTGTCTGAGGCTGTGCGCCGCGTACACACACCGAGCATGTGCTCTTTCACACTTTTAAAAATATGAATGATGCGCATCCCGTGTTGCAAAAGTTACATTACAGCACATGCTTTTAGTCATTTTCACATGGAACTGAGCTTTGCAGAACAACAAATGTGTACAACTGGAAAGGGGGCAGTATATGATGCAATAATCTTGATTAATGCTTTTTCATAATCGTTACAAGCCACAATAGAAACCGTTTTTTCGATTAATTGCACAGCCCAAGTAGCCCCTCCCCTTTTAAAAAACAGCTAATAGCCTTTTTGTTTTTGATTACACCTGATCCTGTGAGAGTGGTAGAGCTCAGGCACATCAAATGAAAATCAAGAGAGAAGGTTAGAAGATCTGGTTAGAAGATCTTAGTGTCTGTGAGACAAATACCGCATACATCACATGATTTTTTTATTTTGCCCTAACGAAGACTGAAAAAGAAGCTAGCATGAAGCATATCAATGTCTGTAAAGGGACCTGTGATATAATGCAGTAGTCAGTGATTGCAGAGATGATAACAAATCGTAAATAAAATTCAGTAAATAAACCACACAGAATCCCACAACTGTTCAACACTGTTACATGCCTGGGAGTGGTGCCCTGTTGTTCCCTATAAAATAAACTCTCTTAAAAAAATATCTAAAATCTATTTGGACAAATAAGCATTTATAATTGTTACGAGTATTTGTAGTGTAGTGTAGGCTTGTGTGTGGTGTTTCTTTCCCTCTCTCTCTTTCTCTCTTTTTCACTATCTTTCTCTCGCTCTAACTTTCACTTAAGTATTCGCAGGTGCAGCGGAAATACGTTGGGTCGGATCATGATTGGCGCTTGGATTGGCGGCTGTATATAAACCTGCAGAGAGCATGGATTCGATGGCTCCCCGCTCAGAGGAGATAGTGCTCAAGTGATCAAATGAGTGTTTGTAAATGAGTGTTTGTTGCTTATGTCTCTTTTGTGGTGTTTTGTGAGATGCCGATGTGACGTTGTTAATTATAACTGGAGAAACCTGGTTTTCTGTCTCCCTGTCTAGCTTGGAACATGGTAGGGATGTTTGGTGCCTTCTATTTGTTATTTTCGTTTTCTCCTGTGTTTGTTAGTAGGGAGGTAAGTTTTCTATTTTGTTAACTGTTTTCTAGGGAAGTTTGATCTGATTTATTAGCTTGGTTTATTGTCATTTATTTTGGCTGAACCCCTATTTTTGCTCCTCATTCATTCATTTTCTTGTCGTCTTAGTCACTTTATTAATCCGGGGTTGCCACAGCGGAATGAACCGCCAACTTATCCAGCAAGTTTTTACGCAGCGGATGCCCTTCCAGCCGCAACCCATCTCTGGGAAACATCCACACGCACATTCACACACACACTCATGCACTACGGACAATTTAGCTCGCCCAATTCACCTGTACTGCATGTCTTTGGACTGTGAGGGAAACCGGAGCACCCAGAGGAAACCGACGCGAAGGCAGGGAGAACATGCAAACTCCACACAGAAACGCCAACTGAGCCGAGGTTCGAACCAGCGACCCAGCGACCTTCTTGCTGTGAGGCGACAGCACTACCTACTCTGCCGCTGTCTCGCCCCTGCTCCTTATTTCTTGTAAATAAATCATATTTTCTTGTTAATTCTCAGTGGTTTAGTTTTTAGTTTATATTTTGTGGAGTGAGAGTGCGGGGTCACCAGGGAATATATTTTTAATCCCCGTTATTTTGTTACATTTTGGTTAAAACCTCTTTTTGATTAAAGATTTTTTATTTAATTTGTAACAATAATGAAAAAAAATGTGATACAAAATGTAAAAACGCCATTTAAAGGGGACCTATAATGCTAAAATAACTTTTATAAGGGGTTTAAACACAATTGTGTGGCATCAGTGTGTGAATATAGCCAGACTCTAATGGTAAACATTTATTAAATTCTATTTTAATCACACTTAATAAAAACTGTCAGCAGAAACGTTTTGATTGACATTCTGCCTTTGCACATGTCATCAGAGAGGGAAAGCCCTGCCCATTAGTGAAAATCTCATCCTCACTACTATAAACAGCCCTGAGTGAGATGCAGTCATAGGCCATTAGAGTTTCGAATCCACCACTATGCTGACACACAGGCGTTTATAGCTGGGAGCACAATCTTCTGGGAGTACAATTTGGATCAAAGCCTAAAAGGGGCAGTTTCAAAAATTTATTAAACATTATTTGACATGTATATTACTCTGAAACTTGTGGCTTCTTCACTTCACTCAAAAAATCGGTACTTTCATCTCCCTTCAATTATATTTCACAGCTTAAAATATAAATACAAGTACAATTTCCTTGTATTGGAATTGGATTCCAATTTTTTCATTGTAATTTTATTCAGTCGGTCATACATTTTTTTTTTTTCGGCTTATTCCCTTTATTAATCTGGGGTCGCCACAGTGGAATGAACCGCCTAGGGAGGTAAGTTTTCTATTTTGTTATCTGTTTTCTAGGGAAGTTTGATCTGATTTAGTTAGCTTGGTTTATTGTCATTTATTTTGGCTGAACCCCTATTTTTGCTCCTCATTCATTCATTTTCTTGTCGTCTTATTCCCTTTATTAATCTGGGGTCGCCACAGTGGAATGAACCGCCTACTTATCCAGCTTTCCCATCACTGGGAAACATCCATACACACTCATTCACACACATACACTACAGACAATTTAGCCTACCCGATTCACCTATACCGCATGTCATTGAACTTGTGGGGGAAACCGGAGCACCCGGAGGAAACCCACACAAACGTGAAGAGAACAAGCCAACTCCACACAGAAATGCCAACTGACCCAGCCGAGGCTCGAACCAGCAACCATCTTGCTGTGAGGCGACAGCACTACCTACTGCGCGTCGCCTTCATTGTAAATTTTTTACAGCAAATTTAATTATAGTTGACAATAAAAGGAAGGGTGCGGTGCTGTGGAAAACCTGAATCGCTACAACTAAAACACTAATAAAGGGCAAACAAGTGATGTGTCTAAGGTAACCTTGCGCATGTACGTTCATGAGTGGTGATGGCAAAACGAAAAAAAATCTGGCAAATTATGTCCTGAAATTTAACACTCATCAAACCACATCCAGTCAGCCAGACAGAAGAGCACACTCTTAAGACAGGTTTCTGCTTAGTCAACAGGCAGACAGCAGGTGTTGTTTTCTACTCACTCTGGGTCAAGTGTTTTCATCCCCAAAGGACCAAGAAGCTTGGTTTCAACAATCTCTAAAGCTTTCCAGGCTCTTTGCACTGAAAACAACTCTGGTGCCTGGTGAAACAAAGAACTGTATAAGGGAAGGGACACTAAAAACACTTAAAAAGATAATAAACATGTCAGAACTCACCACCACCATGGCGATGGTGAAGTTGGGCCTGAGCTGGTAGTCACACCAAGGACTAGAAGCCCCATGACTGTCTTTATAAATGCATTTCTTGTGAACCAAGTCAGGACGTTGCTCATTTGGATCTGCAGGATCGTCTGAGACATAGAAAAACCTTTCAAAGTTCTCCTGGATTCTTTGATTCCACTCCTTATAGGTGATTGATTGTTCTGCTCCTGGAAAATTTAAGATTTTCAATAAAATGCAGTATATTTGTATAGCACTTTTCACAATATTGTTTGTCCCAAAGCAACTTTACAAAAAGGTTTACATTTTTAACTACATTACTGTCACAATTCATAAAAAGTTAAGGAAAGCCACATTATAATGCCATTATTAAGCTTTACAGTGAATTATAAGAATGCTGTCAGCTGAATTTACTGTATTACAACAATAAATCATGATACTACTGATATTAAAAATTTGGAAAAAATAAAAGTTCAGACTCAGAATTATTCTGCTTTTGTATTATTCACCTCTAGTCCACTAAAATGTTACCATAATAAAATAAATAAATTACTGAATAAATAGTTATACCTGTTCACTGATTTAAATAGTCCCGACATCATCATAAAATCAGATATTGGGTCTTACTCAGTACATTCAAAATGGGAATTTATGTAAAAAATTGTATGTGTAGTTTTAGTTATAATAATAATAATAATAATAATATTAATAAAAATTATTTAACATATTAATAAATAACAGTACAAAAATATTACCTTAATGGCACTTATAAAATCTAACCAACTAACTAACTAACTAACTTACTAACTAACTAACTACATAATTGTATGTATTATAAAATTAATAAAATATAATTTTATTAATGGGACCCTATTTTGTAAACAAATATAAAATATAACAACAAATACAACTAGATTATTAAAGTTCGTCAAGACAAACTTTGAGGCTGGCTTGAGAAAGCTTGTTGGCAATAGTTTATTTAGTTTAAACAGTTTTGAAAAAGTATAAAAAGAATACTTCCTTCACAGACATAAGAAATATATCCACATATAGCTTGAAATCTGTGCTTTTAAATGAACCAAGTTCACTTGAAAACAAGATTTTTGCGTTTGTAATTTGTATGAAACAAATGCGAGGTACAGTCCGTCCTGTCAAAAGCACATCACATGACAGCAACTACTCAAACACCCACAAACTTGTAAACAAAGGCCCCATTTATACTGTCAAGTCTTGACGCCCAATTGCAATTTGTTGCCTTTATTTGATTCGTTTGCCTGTTCATATACACGTTCTTTTAATTGTGACCCATATCCGATAATGTGTTTACACTTGCTATACAATTTACAATGTCGCACATGCATAAAGGCGGGTTCTAGCATCAAAAATAAGCGCCACACTAGACCTGATGAAAGAAATTGTCTTGCTTTTAACTCTGCAAAATATGCGAAGTTTGCCCAATTTTGAAATTATTTTGAGGTGGAGGAGGAAGAAAAGGGCCGTGGTTTATATTTGGTGTCCACAACCATTCAGAGGAATTTGTGGGTACGCGAGAGATCTCAGGTCTGGTGGGAGCAAATTGTGGCGACTGACAACTTTCCTCCTCCGTGTTTCCTGTGTTGTTGTTTACTGCGTCGGTGTCTCCACACACGTTCTTCCTTCTATATCATTAAATCGCGGAGAAGTACAGTACCACATTGTCGCAAGTTTAATGACGTACAAAACAGAATGCATCAATAAAATTCTGACTTCAACTGAATGTAATGTAATCGTAAGCTTGGCAAACAGTTTCGAAGAATTTGATGTTTCCCTTTCAGACAGAATGCCTGAGCATACTGCCCATGAGGTGTCTCTAAGGCCACCAAATGAAATGACTTGCATTAAAGGGACTTTGGTATATACTGGCAATAGTACGTCTTGTTGCTTGTTTTGCCATAATAAGCAAAGCAGCAGCAGCAGCAGTGTAGCAGATTTATTGCGTCAAGACTAAATACATTAACATTGCCACACACATAATCATTACCATATTTAATTCTGAGAGAGTTCATGACAGAAGTGAATAAATAAACCAAGCACCTTATTTAATTGCTGGAACCTTATTTTAAAACAAATAATTGCATTATTAATAATGATGCCTTATTTTAAAATCACAGTTTGTATAAAATTCATATAAAAAAATAAAACAATAAAAAAGTAGAAATAGTGAACCGCTGAAATGTTCCTGAAGAATGAGGATGTGCTACAGATTGACGTACCATCTCTGTGTATTTTGACAGAGGAATATGGAAAATGTCCAGTCTCATTCATCATCATCAGCCAGCGCACCGCTGACTTACTAAGACCAACAATCTCCACCGCAGAGCCGTCCCTGCACAACAAAAACACATCACCTGACACAAAGAAGACTGGTTTATCTACGGAGCCTCAGTGCTTATTCCTCAAAGCATTCTTTTGGGCTAAATATAGCGGGTTATTATTACAGGGGTTTAGCATGTCATGTATGACAGTGGGAATCTTTAGTACCTGGGTGTGGCTGGAACACCTTTATTATGGGCTTTATCGCTCTCTCCCATTTTATCCATCCATGTCCCACAGTTGAAGCCATTTCCACCGTAAACAAAGCCCGTCTCGGGATTTACTTTGGCCTCCACGTTAAAGCCTATGGGGCAGGATAACAGGAAAAGAAAAGGTTTGCCACAGACTTGGAAATAGGATCTCCAGTGTGCATTCGTGGAAAGACGTCACACCTTCATGCTGCATGTTCCAGTCGATCTGCGGACCGGCGTTTCTCTCTCTGAATTGGATTCCCTGCATGTGACGCTGCATGGCTTCTTGAATAAGCACATACAACGGCTGGTCATGAGCCTGTTTATGAACAAATACATTTAGTGTGGAGAGTCATCAGACAAAATGAAACTGTCACATCAAAAATAAACAAATACTGTACTATGTGCTTAATTTTTATTATTATAGTTGTTTGAAAACCATCTAAATTCATTAAATTAATTATTATTTAGAATATTTATTTTATAATAATGATAATAATATAAATAAATAAATAAATAATATAAATAAATAAATAAATAATATAAATAAATAAATAAATAAATAAATAAATAAATAAATAAATAAATAAATAAATAAATAAATAAATAAATAAATAAATAAATAAATCTGTAACATTTCCTCTGACCAAAAAAAAAAGGGATATTTAGATCCCATTGTTGGGATATTATTTATTGTGGTTGGTGAAAGTTACTTTTAAAAGGCATATATAACAGTCTTATGTCACTTTAAAAAAAAGAAATGTGTTACTTGGAGACTTTTTAAATTAAGATTATGACAGTTCTCAAATAGTAATTAAAGCAACAAGTATTGTTAGGTTAATTTAGCAGATTTTTGTTATTATATAAATGAAGATAGGCTTAAGATTGTAATATATATCACTTTTAAAAGTAACTTTACCCAACACTGTGAACTAGCAGTTTAAAAACACGATAAATACAGCCTAAATGTGCTCCACGTAACTCACATAATAGAAGGAATAATTTTTTCTTTTTTATTATAATTTTATTAACCCAGGAAAGAACCCTTGAAAAATACATATTTAAATCCATTTCTTTCAAAAATGTGTAAATAATTATAATTATTTCCATATTTGATTATATTTATTCACATATTTATTCACGTTTTACTGCTGAAACTTCTATAATGCTAAACAATGCAAATATAATCAGGCCGTTTTGAAACAATGTTTGTCAAGTCCAAGGGCTAACATTTTGTATTATCCACTATATTTGAATATTATCTGTGAGTTCTATCTATTATCTATTAAAATTATGTCAAAAGTTTGCTTTTTAAAAAGGAATGTAATTCATAGCATTATACAGTTTCAAATATTTGTTCATTCAATCATTAATTTATTAATTCATTAATTTATTCATTCATTTATTTATATTTATTTACGGGCAAAATGAAAGCTTGTCAAATCAAAAATAAACAAATACAACATTCTAAGCTTTGTTTTGATATAATCAACTTAAATATCCATGTTTGCATATAAACATGCATTGCATGTGTAGGACTAAATAAATAAATAAATTAATTAATTAATTAATTAATAAATAAATAAATAATTGCAATAATTAAATGTAACAAAAAGTATTGGTTTGTTCAGGCTCAGACAAGGGGTTAGGTTCCAAAAAATACAAATTCAATAAACATGTGTTCCTCATAAGAGCTTTGTGTGAAGAATTGTCTATGTTATTCACACTCAAAAAATAAAGCTCTTATATGTATTTCTTTCAAAACTGTGAAATGTATTTCATTTATTTAAAAAAAAAATTTAAAAAGCAATAAAAGAAAACTATACGCATATGCATGCTTATATTATCTCATCTATAATGCTAACCAACGCAATTGCAAATGTGGAACAACTTTTGGTCAAATCCAATAGCTAATATTTTGGTATATGGAAGTTTGATCTATTTAGTAAAAAAGAAGCATTATATAAAGAAGTGTAATGGTAAACTTATTTATTTTTAATTGTACATGTCTTTTATGCTTTTTTAAAAATTATTTTATAAATAAATATTTATATATATATTTTTAATTTATAAATGTTATATATTTTAATTATAGATATTTTATCTTTTGTAGTATGTATTTATAATTTATATTACTTAATTACCAATATATAAATCAAGTAATGGCATAAATATTATGTAAATTCTCGCTTCTAAATAAATAGAAATATGCAAGAAATATGGCTTCCTATTAACCGTAGACAGATTTCTTTATCCCTAAGAACATCATAAAAGCATTTGCTTCAAAATCGAGCCACAATTTGTTCAGTAAACCACAGTTTGTAAAAACTAAGAAGCTAGTTAGAGGCATGTTTAATTCCTCGCAGCTGACTTTAATAAACAGTGCACAGTTACACTCCTAATGTTAAGTATAAGATTGTTTCCTTTCTGCTTACCACTGTCCCGAGGGCCTGCGCTTCTGAATCATCAGTGGGATACATACGTGACACAGGGCACATTAGTATATCTGTGCCGATGGGCACGATGGTGCAGTAGTCCTGGATACACTGTAGCCACCACCACACTGCATCACGACAGTTATAACGAGCTGCGACACCCTGACCCAGCAGATTCGGGATCAGACCGTGACGCATCGTACCAGCAAAGGCTAAGATGATGTCTCTGCAGGGGTGTAAAGAGAACACAAAAATAATACTAAAAGTTAAATGTTTACTCCAATAAAGTACAAGTACCTGGATTAAGCTCACAACTTTAAATTGCCCTGTAGTATACAATAGTACAAATTAATTACAATCCATTTTTTAGATTTTTTACAATTGAAAAATAAACACAAATGAATATAAACATGTCTCAAAACATGTCAGCTGGTATTTTATGCAAAACTGACAATTTATATATATATATATATATATATATATATATATATATATATATATATATATATATATATATATATATATATATATATATATAATGCTTCTCTAGCGTAATGTCTAAAGTGATGACAAAACAGGCAATTTTTCTGATATTTTAAGATTATAAGGCTGAACAGCAGTTCACACAGATATCTTCCTACAGTATTAAAGTCTATTGCAGTCTACAGTATTTCTCTGTTGCAATCTAGATATCACAAAAATTATTCCCAAAAAAGCAGCGCAATCACTACCAGATTGCTGTTCTGTCTGCGATAAGGAAAAATGCTAATTACATGCGGAGATTTCTTCTTTCTTTCTGCCAACACATGACACATTCCTAATATCCGAGTCCCATCTCACACTCAATGCACTGTAGTTACATGGTATAAATACAGCACTACAACATACATAAGAGAGAGATCAACTTAGAAAGTCACTTACCAGTTTTATAATGATTTGTTAAGCTGTAATTTAAAAATTATGCTGGGTTATTCCTCCTCTAAGGGCTTATTATGCAGTCTTTGTCGATATCTTGTGGATGGACAACATCAACCATCTTTGGTCTACTCAATGACTGGGTAATGTGATTTTAAATGACTGGGTAATGGAGACGAGCTGTCTCTCAGAAATTATACATATTTTAAAATAGGCACTATCTTTATAAATAAACTGCATAGTTGCAATCTAAACAACTACATTTCTGGCTAACTTCTGTCAACTGTAGAGTGTTCTCTGCTGCACATCTTGTATCTTCACACCTTAGACGGCAAAGATAGTGGGGCCATTTTTCATCAATGGAAACCTCAAGGCCACTGGATATTTGAAATTGCCACATGATGATGTTTCCCTCTTTATGCACTGAAGCTGGCACGTTCCCTGAGTTTTTCCAGCAAGATGGTGCACCACCACATTATGATTGTCAGGTCTGAGCATTCCTAGATGAACCGTTTTCTGAAAAAGGGATTGGTTGTCGTGGGCTAGTTGAACGGCCGCCAAGGTCTCCTGATCTGACCCCCTTAGACTTTAATCTTTAATCTTTTTAAACAATTGTCTATGTTGTGAAGATACAAGATGTGCAGCACCTGAAACTACGGATACTGGAAGCCTGTGCTGGCATTTCTCCTGCGTTGTTGCTATCAGTGTGAGAAGAGTGGGAGAAGTGGGTTGCATTGACAATCCAACACAATGAGCAGCACATTGAACACATTTTATAAGTGGTCAGAAACTTGTAACTAACTCATGAAAGAATAAAGTTATGTTAAAACCAAGCACAACATTGCATTTCTTGTTAAATTCCCAATAAGTTTAATGTGTCAAATGGCCCTCTTCCTATTGGAAAAACTAAAGTTGGATCCAAGATGGCCAAATTCAAAATGGCCACCTGGGTCACCACCCATCTTGAAAAGTTTGCCCCCTCACATATACTAATGTGCCACAAACAGGACGTTAATATCACTAACCATTCCCTTTTTACTAAGGTATATCCATATAAATGGCCCACCCTGTATATTTATATTTATATATACATACATATATTGAATTGCATATATGTACAGTATGTATATTTTTCATCCAATAATATAAAAAATGGGCAGCTCGGTGGCTCAGTGGTTAGCACGATTGCCACACAGCAAAAGGGTCGAAGATTCGAGTCCCGACTGTGTGGAGTTTGCATGTTCTCCCCATGTTTGTGTGGGTTTCCACCGGGTGCTTTGGTTTCCCCCACAGTCCAAAGGCATGCGCTATAGGCAGATTTAATAAACTAGACTGGCCGTAATGAATGAGTGTATGTGTGTTTCCCAGTACTTGGTTGTGGCTGGAATGGCATTTGCTGCGCAAAACATATGCCAGAATAGTTGGTGGTTTATTCTGCTGTGGTGACCTCTGAAATACAGACTAGCTGAAGGAAAATGAATGAATGAAGGAATTGAATTTAATAAACATGTCTGTATTGTTAATTCTAGCCTGTAATATCATAGAAATGTGCAAGAAATATGTATAAATAGTAGTTCGAAACATTAGCTTTGACAGATTTCAAATGTCGAAAATGGAAAAAAATACTTTTTTAGAAGACTCCAAAAACAACATCTATAGGATTTCCATTGTTTTTTTCTATTAGGATCTTTCAGGGTCAAATAGAGAAATGAAGTACAATTATGGAAGTGTTTACACCTCTGCATTTCTGTCAGGAACACAATACTTTAAAGCATGGTTTGTGAATGATTCGTGTGCACTGTAAAGCTGTGTTCACCTGGCCTCCAGGTGCCTCCCTGTCAAAAGCATGAGGCCGCGCAGAGCTATGAATGTGTCTCGACCCCAACAGCGGAAGATTCCAGTGGAGAAATGTGGCAGACCTACACAGGTGAAAATGATTTCTCTTAAAATAAATCAACATTGAACCTCAAACTTTCAGTTAGATTTTTTATAGTCTTCAACTTTACAATACATATAAACAAATACATTTGGACTTTTTTATTTGAAGTATACATTTGATTTACAATCCTTATCAGAAAAAAAAAAAAAACAGAAAACTAGATCTTCTTTCTTTTCACAAAATCATTCACACATTGTGATTATGTTCTAATTTTTCTAAAAAAAAAAAAAAAACACCACACTGCTGGCATCTTTCTCTACCACAAACCTTTCTAACTTGTCATGTGATTGGAAAGCCACTAATCAGGGGTGCGTTTTCGAAAAACATCGTTAGCCAACTAAGATTGCAAGTTCCGTCATTACAAACATAGTTTGTTGATTTGGCGTTTCCCAAATCCGTGATTCAAATGAACATTCGCAAACTGCGTCGCAAACTTGTGCCCTTGCAACTACACCTCTGGAGCTGTAGTTAGAAACCTAGTTGCTGGCTGTGTTCTGTTCCCAGTTATCCCCCCTATGCCCTATTCGTTTAAAACATTTTAATGTTTAGACTTGGAATGATTGAAAAAAAGCATTAAGGTCATCTCTCTTAGGTGTGATTTGCTTTCAAAGTATTTTTACAGTTCAGTTTTAGCAATCTTCATGTTTACAATTGCGCTCCCTTCGCAGTGCACTTTGAAAACATTGATGTAATTTTGAACGAGCGGAATTTATGTTACGGCTCCAAAGCTAGTATATTTTTTACAGTCATTGCTCCAAAGCTTGTGAAAACAAAAACACATAGCATACGTTAATGCTTTTATTTTATAGTGGGTTATTTATTAACTATCTGTACTGTATATGACATGGGCCTGTTGGTTAGAACATTTCTGCAGTGGTTTGCATGTGTCAAATTGTAAAAGTAGACTTTTCAAAAAACAAAAAATAAACAATATCCTACTTAAAAACAACAACAACAACAACAACAATAATAATAATAATAATAATAATTTCCTAATAACAAAAAAATGAAATTTCTTTTCTTAATAAATTGCCTCATTGTTTATTTATTTACATGATTTATATATGATGTTAGAATATTAGCTTTTTGTAAGTAATTTTATGTTCTAAAATAATATATGTGATGTTCTCAATAATATTTGTAAAGGAAACACAGGTCCTATATGTGCCATTTACATATACTTTAATTAATATGGAAAGCAAGTGCATGTTTTTACGAAAATTAACTTTCGGGTTTTTTTAAATGCGTGTGAGTGTAAAACAATATCATTTGAACAAAACAAATATGGGGTTCTTCTCTAAAAAAGTTCTTACCACCGTTTGGAACATTATTATGGGCATTTTACGTTATAACTAACGTGGCTCAAAGGATGGATCTGCAACAGAGCAACTATAGTTTTGGAAAACAGTCGTCACTACATCGCTCTACTCTACTATGATAGTTTAGCCGCGAGTTACGTCGACTCGTTGTTTGGGAAACGCACCCCAGAACTCAGCCAGCAGCACATCTAAAGTGGATCAACTGGCAAAAATAATCCAAAATTGAGCGTCTTTAATAAATTGGGCGACAACAACGTTTAAAAAAATTTAATTTATAGGCTGATAAAAATGATGCAGCTATTCTTGTTTAAAAGAATGTTAGCTTCTTTTCTTATGTTAATGCTAACCATCAGCTGACATGTCCCATTTGTTATGCATTTACATTTGCAAATGATCTGAACTTCAAATAATCTAAACAGGTTCTTTCCCCGGGGTCAAAACAAATCTTTTCATTTGATTCAAATCTTGAGACAGATATTGTGACGACACAAACAAGCCCTTACACCAACCTAAAAAAAACAATTCAAAATGACACAGAAAGCTGAAAATTCATACAGTACAAGGATAATTCATGTTAAATGTTATACACACACTGTAACACCCAACAGTCAACTTGATCAAATGAAATGTGTTTAGTTAACTGAAAAGTGACTGAAAGTTAATTCTACTTGCTTAAAAAGAGTTTAGAACTCAGTGTTGAAGGTAATGAGTTAATTAAACTTAATGGAGTAAGTTCACAGTACTCATATAGATTAGTTTTTTTAACTCGTGGTTTGTAGCAATCGGTTTCCTCAAACGGTTTGAGTTGTCTTAACTTATTGGGTTTCACAGTACTCAATTAGTTTGAGTTCTCTTTATTTATTGGCTTTAACTGTGCTCAAATTGCTTCTTTTACTCAAATGGATTAAGTTCACAGTACTCATTTGGATTAGTTTTTGAACTCAAATGGTTTGAGTTACCTTAACTTTTTGGGTTTTACAGTGCATGTCATGTTGATCCAGTAAAAAAAATAAATAACTTTAGCTATAGCTCTAGCTTTGCTGTTTCTCTGCTTTAATACACAGAATAAAAAGAGTCCAAACCAGTTTGTGCAATTTTTTTTTTATGCAGATACCAGCCTAAAACACATGGTCACTTACTGAGAATATTGAAAATGAACCAACCTCAGAATCAGATAAAAAAAGAAAGTTTCATCTTTATGAACTGTACATTTTTATTAAATGAACTATGTGAGTAATTATTAAAATTTTTTTAAATCTGTTAAGTTAAATTCTTGGTGATGACAACCGTAAATGTGTATGCTGCACATAGAAAGAAAGTAGGACTTTTATGTTAAGTTAAAAGGTCACTTCCGGTGTGAGTGGGAGTTTTTGTTGTTGTTAGTGAAGGGCCATGGTGGTCATGCAATAAAGGAGACGAGTTCAGAACTGTTGTTTTCATTTAGTAACAAAATCAACTTAAAAGTCCAAAGTGACAATAGGTCAAGTCAATTATTAAAAGTAAACTCAACTTGTCGCTTTTAAGGCAACAGGTTTATTCTTATTTTTCCAAGTAAAGTAAATAATTAGTTTTTACAGTGGAGTTTTATAATAGATGAAAATGTGTATGAATCTAACCTGCCGCAATAGACACACAGCACTGCTCCTCCTGCTTGGTTGCACTGTTAACTCGCACCGGGACATCCTCCAGTTCAGGGGACAGATGTGGCAGGGCGGGGACACGACCCACCCCACACATCTGAACTGACCCCAGGGCCAGCTGTTTGACCAGGGTCGACCCATTCAGAACAAAGCTGGAAGACATTATCCACATTTTAAAAAATATATATTAATAGCACTCTCAAACTAATAAACATCTGTATTACAAAGAAAAAAAAGCTAACCTTGACATTTGGTTGAAGACGGCATCTACAGCTGTGGCGTACGCTCCAACAATAATGGCATCGAAATAACATGGCACTAAGTAGCGTGGAAGATGCTTGAGGTATGAAAATACAGCTTTGAACCATTTTCCAACCTATCAAAAATCAGAAGAGAAAAAAAAATTCAATAATAAATGTACAAAGCAGGCTCACTGATTCAATTATTGGAGATCAGCAAATATGCCAAATACATCCTAGAAGGTACTTTTTTTTTTTTTTTTGCAGTTTTTGTTTTCATGAATCCACCAGAGGGCACTGTGTACGCTTTCTGAGATCTAAATTTTTTCTCGTGAATGCCATTTATGCCTGCTCTTCTCGCGTAGATCCACCAGAGGCCGCTGTCGACTGACTGACTAATTGACTGACCCACCCTTTTCCTTCCCTAAACCCAACCAATAGTGTTTCAAAAAGCAATCCAGAAAAAGAAATGTCTGATTTTTACCACGTATTCAGATTTTACCACATTCTCACCCTGTTATTTTATTTTTTGGCTTTTGCTTTTATCTTACCCGCTTTTTGGAACCGTTCTTCGCCGAAATCACAGTCAACTCTGCTCCACATCACACAAAGTCTGACATCCAACGTACGATGCGAGCTACTGGACAAACTGGTAACAGCAGAAAAGCACTCCACACGGAGTTAAGCAATCAGCTGGAAGCACAAAAAGAAACAGAACCGGAAGCGTGTGGACAGCTTTTCCGCTATTACCAGCTTGTGACAACAGGGTTGGCGTCTGGCGAAGAACATTTCCAAAAAGCAGGGAAAACAAAAACAAAAGCCAAAAAAATTAATAAACATGTAAATAACAGGGTGACAATGTGGTTAAATCTGAAAACGTGATAAAAATCATGCGGCCGTGAGGGCTTTTCTTTTTCTGGATTGCTTTTAAAAACACTTTCGGTTGGGTTTAGGAAAGGTGGTGGGCGCAGGTCAGCTAGTGCTTTTAAAAACACTATCAGTTGGGATTAGGAAAGGGGGTGGGTGGGGTAAATGGTCTGTCGGTCAGTCAGTTAGTTAGTTAACAGCGGCTTCTTGTGGATTTACGCAAGAAAAGCAGGTGTGAATGGCACTCGCAAGAAAAAATTAAAATCTGAAAAAGCATACACAGTGGCCTCTGGGGGATTTGCAAAATCAAAAACTGCAAAACAAAGTAGCTCCTGGGAGGAATTTCCTGATCTCCAGACATGTATTTAGGGGTACATATCTCCACAATGAGCCTTTTTTGAGAGAGATTTTTTTTGTTCCTTTTTTTCCTGTTTAGAATATAACCAAGCTTTTAAATGTTGAAATGTTTTATTGTCCATAAATGCAATGTTTACGAACCCTGTTCCTGGAGACATACCAACAAAACACATTTTTGAAGTCTCCCTTATCTGACCCATTAACATCAGGTTTAGGAGTCTCTTCTTGTGATTTGATGAGTTGATTCAAGTGTGTTTGATTAGGAGAGGATAAAAATGTGTTTTGCTGGTGCGTCTTCGGGAACAGGGTTGGGAAACACTTCAATACTGTATAGTTAATGTTAGCAAATGGCAATTACCAAAACATTGTTTCCTACCTCCCGCAGAGCTCCGCCTTTATTGATCAGACGAGTGCTCACGTAATCAAGTATCCAATCTCCTTGTCTTAGATTGTCACAGAACGGATGTCCAAGGTCATTTTTGGGTCGAATCTCAGACAATACAGACACAAAACCTGTTCATAACGGAGGCACATGTTTATTTCACAACAGTGACCAAATATCAATAATATAATGTGGGTATTTTGGTACCTTGCAGGCCTCCATACTTCAGAGGCATCCAGGAGGGAATATTATAGCAGCCACCACCGTCTTCCTGTTCCTCAGCATCACAACGAAATAACAACACATTGAGCTCCGCCAGAGTCAGTTTGGATATTAAACTGCAATATAATTAAAAGCAACAGGCCTTAAGTGAGAGAACTAAATGCAGCAACAGCACAGTTGGTGTTTCGCTTTGTGAATAACAGACAAAATAGAGGTAAAAAAAATGACTCACAATTCTAAAGATATTTTCAGGATGCCAGCGACCTTGCTGTCAGTCAGACTTCCAGATTTGAACAGCCGGTTGAACTGTGAGAGCTGTGTTCGCAAGTAGCCCACCATTTTCTGAGAGTTTGGATCAAGGCTCACCCTGTGAGATCAGTTACAAGTTGAAATTTGCTAAACAAAATGCACTCTATATGCCTTAATGTGGTTTTAAAGAAACAAATTCTTAATTTTTAAAATATTTTTCCCCCAATTTCTGCTTAAAGGAGGCGAGACTTTTTCCATTTCATTTCTAGTCATAATAGGTTTAATAACTAATTTCTAATAGAAAAAAAACTCTCATTTGGGACTGAGGTATCTGGGACAGAAAGATATGATTTAGCCAAGGTTGACCGCAGTGGGTAACGCTGTGCATTGTCTTTCCACCACTTGAGAGGACACGCCATGAGTGAGATAGAGGCCTCTTTACAGTACATTTCAATGTCTGCATCAATCTAACAAGTGTGCTGTGTTCTGCAGTCCCCATGACTGTTTTTAGTCGTATTCCCTGACTTATATTTCACCACAGTCTGGCAGTGCCAGCATACCGTTTTTTTTTCTTTGTCTGTAAACTTTTCTCCTTTTTCGTATCTTTTTAGAAAGAAACCGAATTACTTCCACACATCCGATTTAAAACCCGCTTTAGGTTCACACACTCCATTTCCGCATTACTGGATCTGTAGTGACAACAAACCGCAAAGGATGATAGCCACACCTAGGCTGACGGGAATTGTAGTTCCCGCTACCTCCCGTTCGCTTCATTCGCCTAAGCAAACTTTTCTCAGAAACATAGTTTTATTGAGTCAAGCGCCTACGGTAATATTGAAAAAAAGTACTATTGCAGTATGACAGTATTTACAATATAGTTACATCCCTATTAATTAGGTTAACTAGGCAGGTTAGGGTAATTAGGAAAGTTATTGTATAATGATGGTTCGTTCCGTAGACTGTAGATCGAAAAAATATATAGCTTAAAGGGGCTGATAATTTTGACTTTTAAAATGTTTAAAAAATGAAAAACTGCTTTTGTTCTAGCCGAAATAAAACAAATAAGACTTTCTTCGGAAGAAAACATATTATCAGACATACTGTGAAAATGTCTTGCTCTGTTAAACATCATTTGGGAAATTTAAAAAGAAAAAATTTTTTAAAAGAAAATTAAAAAAGAAAAAAAAATTCAAAGGGGGGCTAATAATTCTGACTTTAACTGTATATGACTTAGGGTCTGTGATGAGTGTCTTTGCTTTTTTCGAACTAGAAAGATTAAGAGGTTTGAGGAAATATTAATGTTAGTTGATATTTTAAAACATTTATTAATTATATATTTTTTAGGTGTTTTTTTATGGTTAAACCCCTTGCCAGGCTCTGTGGCTAGTTTTATTTTCATTACAAGAAAGCTTTCTCGTCGATGTCGATAGCCTAGAGGTAAGTTCACTGACAAATATGTGTGTGTGTGTGTGTGTGTGTGTGTGTGTGTGTATGTGTTTTTGTGACATATCAGCACACAAATCTGTATAATGACATGGGTATGACACAGGTATTACAAAATGGAGGTGAAATATGAGGACATTGGTAAATCACACAGAACACAGAATAAATCACACAGAATTAGTTTTTTCAGTGAGTAAAGCTGCACACAGTCTCTTGTGATGGCTGGGTTTAGGGGTAGGGAGAGGGCAACACAATATACAGTTTAAACAGTATAAAATGAATGAAAACCTATGAAATGTACCCACTTTTCACAAAAACAAACATTGTTTTTGAAACATAAATTGTTTTGGGCACAAGAAATTTTACAAGTAGTCTTTTGTAGACTTAACAAGTATAAATTTTATTTAATTAGTTCTACAATAAAGACGAATGTGGACTGAAAAAGTTTTTCAATATTGTCCTAAGGCAAGAATGGATGTTGCTGAATGCTGACTACTCTTCATAGTATTACCTTACCATCTGATTATTTAATTTCTTTATCTTAATACTGTTAGACTCTAGAGGTTGCTTTAAACCATAAAGCAATCTTTGTTCAATCATGTAAATTTATGCTTGTTATTTGTTTACATTCAAGAATTCACATTTAGCTGATGATTGATTATAAAGCGTGTTTGGCATGCTGTCCCGGGAGAGAGCCCTAAGCTCATAAGATCCTCGAGCCCGGGGCTGTCTCCTGTTTGCAAGGCGAGAAGGGAGTTTGAGCTCAGGTGGATCTCGAGAACTCCCCTGCCTGAGTAGCTAATGAACAGATAGTGATTGCTCTTAAGAGAGAACTACTTACTAGGAGCATGTCTATGGTGGCAATTTTGTTTAGGCAGTTAACTTAAATTGCATGTTTTTGGAAAGTGGGAGGAAACAGGGGAACCCGGGGGAAACCCAAATGAGCACGGGGAGAAAGTGCAAACTATGCACAGAAATGTCAGCTTGCTTGGTAAGGACTAGAATCAGTGATGTTCTTGCTGTGAGGCAACAGTGCTAACCACTGGACCACCATGGCACTCATCTAGGAAAGGAGGAGGAGTAGGGGTGGAAGGGGGGATTCTTCAAAACGAAGATGGCTGTTATATGGAACTTGGGGTATTTATAGTGGCTTTGGAATTGTCTGATTGGTGTATCAGAAATTGGATGGCTTGCAAGCACGTGATCCTTTCGAAATTAGTTTAGAAATAAACTTCACATAATTTATGCAGATGCTCTCCCTATCAGTGCAAAATTGTGAATTCTTCCGCAAGAGTTATCATAGGCAGCACGGTGGCGCAGTGGGTAGCACTGGTTCCCCCACAAGTCCAAAAACATGTGGTATAGGTGAATTTGGTAGGCAAAATTTTCAGTAGTGTATGCGTGTAAATGACGTGTTTGGATGTTTCCCAGTGATGGGTTGCAGCTGGAAGGGCATCCGCTGCGTAAAACATGTGCTAAATATGCTGGCAGTTCAGTCCTGATTGATAAAGGGACTAAACCGAAAAGAAAATGAATGAATGAGCTATCATAGAATTTTTGATACAGTATATAGCAATGTTTTTTTTTCCAATATCATGCAGCCCTAGTGTGTGTGTGTGTGTGTGTGTGTGTGTGTGTGTGTGTGTGTGTGACATACCAATACATAAATTTGTATAATGACACAGCTCTTACAAAGAAAAGGTGACTTATGAAGAAATTGTTCATGTCTTTATTTAATCAAAATCATTTGATGAAGTCAAAATGCACACTGTTTTGTGTAAGGGGGTAGGGTTGGGTGTAGGGCAATAATAGGGAGTTTGTACAATATTAAAAAAACTATGGAAACCTATAGAACGTCCCCACAACTCACATAAAACAAATGTTTGTGTTACAACAAAAATGTGGTTTTGGACTGATGTTAATAATTATTTTAATGATTGTAAATACTCAAAAATTATCATAAATTGTAAATCCATTATGTGTAAATTATGAATAATTATGCAAGTCATTAATGGAATGGATGTCAGTTGAGATCTATATGTGTGTTAGTGTGTGTTTACCTGAATGCAATGACACTACCAGGTGTGAGCTTTTCGAACAAAATCTCCTCAACAAACTCGCTGCGCCCTTTTGTGGTGGCATCTCCCTGCTTTACAATTTGACTTTCCTTTAGCTGCAAACCAAAACACGTTTTATATTAAAGCTGCGTCAGAAGGAACAAACACACATACAGCACTTAATTAACTAGACTAACAACTGAACTATTAAAAGGAGCATACCAATGTATAGAGCGTGCCAACAACTATACCCACAATTAACACAGAACAGGTTTTTAAACCAAGTCTGTTAGCCTTTTTGTTCAGTCTATGGCCAGTGATGCAGAAATAAATGTGATCCTGACACTCCTCCTGTTCATGTGACATTGCAGCTGCTCTCAGCACTAGAGTCATGTTACCTGGATGTGTTCACGGATCTCGACTGTGTAGTTCGGCAGGCCATTAATGAACGTCTCATCTTTCACATATGACTCAGCGCTTCTCTCCACTGTGCGTGCCTCTAAAATCACCTCCTCGATTTTACCTGTGCAATGAGACGGCCAATGTGAAACTGGTTTCACTCAAAAAGTGTTTGAGTCATTAATCATTCTGTCTGAGTCATACTTGTGTGACATTTGAAGATACACTTAAATAAAAAACTGCATAAGACAGACAGGATTTATTTCAACAATGTAGTTTAAAAACAAAGAGTGTTAGGTCTTTGTTTATTGTGTTTTGTTCTCAGAGGTCCTCCTATAAAAACTTGTACACTATATTGGGGGAAGTTACTTAAAAGTAAAATATTACAATCTTGCGATACTTAACATGCTAAATGATAGAGATATATATATATATATATATATATATATAATCAATTATTAAAACAGTAAACCAGAAGTTTACATACACTCTAAAAAAAGGAACATAACCATCTTTTAAAAAATGTCTGATGGTAAATCGTACTAAACGTTTACTACTTTAGGTCCGTTAGGATTACCTAAATGATTTTCATTTGCTAAATGCCAGAATAATGAGAGAATTTTTCATTAATTTCTAGACAGTCAAAAGTTTACACACATTTCCTTGGCATTTTTTTTTATGCTTTGCTTTTAAACTGTATAACTTTGGTCAAATGGTTTGTGTATCGTTCCACAAGCTTCTCACAATAGTTTGCAGGAATTTAGGCCCATTCCTTCTTACAGAACTGTTGTACCTGAGTCAGATTTGTTGGCTGTCTTGCTCGCACAGGCTTTTTCAACTCTGCCAACAAATTTTCTATAGGGTTGAGATCAGGGCTTTGTGATGGCCACTTCAAAACATTCACTCTGTTGTCCTTAAAGCACATTTGAACTAGTTTGGCAGTATGCTTAGGGTCATGGTCTGTTTAGAAGACCCATTTGTGGCCAAGCTTTAATTTCCAGGCTGATGTCTTGAGATGTTGCTGCAGTATTTCTACATAATGATCTTTCTTCATGATGCCATCTATGCTGGGAAGTGGACCAGTCCCTCCTGCAGCAAAACAGCTCCACAACATGATGCTGCCGCCACCATACTTCAAAGTTAGGATGGTGTTTCTAAGCTTGTAAGCTTTCTTCTTTGTCCTCCAAATGTAACACTGGTTATTATAGCCAAACAGTTCAATCTTAGTTCCATCAGACCACAGGATGTGTCTCCAAAAATTATTCTTTTTCCCAGTGTAATTTAGCAATTTGTAATCTGGCTGTTTTGTTGATTCAGGTTAGTTGATTTTCCCATGTTGTCACAAAAGGAAGCAGTTTGTTTAAGGTTTCCTTAAATACTATTTTACAGTGTGCCTCCAATTAACTCAAATGTTGTCAATTAGCCAATCAAAAACTCAAAAAAACCTTGACACCATCATCTGAGCTTTTTCAGAGGCATATTAATCTTATTGTATGTAAACTTGACAATTTCTCAAAAAATATCTTTTTATTATTGTTCTGCTATTAAGCGTAAAAGAAACAAATTTGATAATCCTAACTTACCTAAAAGAGAGAAAGTTTAGTCACATTAACATCTGACTTTTTAAAAATGTTTATGTGCCTTTTTAGACAGTGTATGTAAACTTCTTGTTTCAACTGTACATACCCCAATATACATTTCCGAACAGTGCAAAATACTTCCCCAAAGGTATTTTGTTTTTGCGTTTATGTTTTTGCGAATCCACCAGGGGCAGCTATGTACGCTTTTTCAGATCTCAAATTTCTCTCATGAGTGCCATTCGCACCTGCTGTTCTCACATAGCTCCACGAGAGGCCGCTGTTGACTGACTGACTGACTGACTGACCAATAACTCCACCCACCCCCATCTCTTAACCCAACTGATAGTGTTTTCAAAAGCACTGATCGACCCGATCATCCCCTTCTTAACACCCAATCCACAGTGTTTTCAAAATAGAGTTTAGATTCTCTGTCCGAGCCCGCAGGCCAGTTACCTATCTACCTTTATATATAAATGCACTTTTTATTTTTACTTTTCATCTGCACCAAGGGCCGCAGCAACTTCCTGCATGTGCGGTGTGAAACAGGCGTGAATTAACTGATTCAGAGGTTCACAAGCAGCCATTTTTATATTTATTTCAATGTGGTATCAATCCAAAAAAAATAAGTGAACGCATAATTCTCTAGAACAGCTCTTGCAATTACACTATATCACACTTAAGATCGGATCTTTGATGCTACTTTCACTTTAATAAAAAAGATATGGAAAAATGCTTAAATGGGATGACAGCAGGATAGAATGGTAAAAAATGTGAGAACACTGGCAAAAACAGGAAGGTATGCAGAAAAGACACAAGGTATGACACAAGGTGTACAGGCTTGGGTAAGGTTTGGTTAAATTTTTTGGGCTCGATTTAAGCTCTATTTCAAAGGTAATCCAGAAAAAGAAAAGCCCTCGCGGACACCTGATCTTTACCACATTTTCAAATCTAACCACATTCTCACCCTGTTATTTATTAGATCCTTTTTTTTGCCTGTAGTTTTTGTTTTATCTGCTTTCTGGAACCGTTTTCACCAGACTCAAACCCTGTCATCACGGTCAACTCCTCTCTGCGTCTCAAGGCCACTGACATACATGGCGAGCCACTGGGCACACTGGTAACAGTGTAAACGCTGTCGACACGGAGGTAAGCAGTCAGCTGGTAGCGCAAGAAGAAACAGAAGCTGTCAGCGGTGTCATACTACCCCGTAGAGTTAGTTTTAAAGATGAAACGCAGCCATACATAGCTTTGGCTACATAATTTGCACTTTTCAGAAATATATATGGGATATATATGGGCGTACGTTATTCCAATGAGCCTGTGTTGAATGTACTGTTAGGCCCTTTTACACCAAAACCGAAATGTGAAGTTCAGGCCAAAAGAAATTCATCTCTTCACAGTTTCAGCTGCAGTCTTAGAAATTAAAAAGTAATGCATTACTGGTACTGGTTACTTAAAAAACGAATATGATTACAAAACTTGTGTTACAGCACTTGTAATGCCTTACTCCAAACACTATACGATGAAAAAAACAATCCTAATATAAAAGTTATGTTTTATTTTTTGATCTTCTGGTTGTCCTTTATCAGAACACATGGTTTATTTAGCCGTGGTGGATTGTAGATTAAGTAGTTATCCAAAGGTATGACTGGATTGCGGTTTTACATTTTTGAAATGCCCACCTACATTAACTTCCGCATGTAAGAACATTTAGGTTTCTCATGTCATGACCTCTTTAAAAGTGTCACCATTTATACCTGGGATGTACATGGGGGCCAAGGACTCTCTGAATTGGTGTGTTTTGGGGTCTTTAAAGGCCGTACGACACACTGTCACAACAGACTGATGTGTGCTGGGGCAATGCCTGGTCACAGCCACTGTGTCTTCATCCAGCTGATCCACGTAAACCTGAAACACAAATGATGAACAGATATAAAGACACAGATTCATGGTGACGTATGCACGTGATGAAAGGTGTAGGTTACGAGGAAAAAAAAAAACAATAGGTGTCAGTTCCACCAAACATAATAATCACTCATAATACTGATATAAATATGATTCATTTATAGTGGCTCCAAAAAAAAAAATAAATAAAAGATGTCTGAATATTTTAGAAATTGAGATTGTAAAACAAGGTGTTTTTTATATTAGAAATAAACACTTTAACTAGCAAAAAAAAAAGTAATACTTTACCTTTAGGTTGTATTACTTAATGCTAGTTAATGCATTTACTAACATGAACAAATGATAACAATACATGTGTACAGTATGTGTTCATATTAGTTAAAGTAGATACAATCTTTCATAGTTCTTGTTAACTCACTGTGCATTAACTAATGTTAAAGGGCACCTATGATAAAAATCATATTTGGAAGCTGTTTTTACAGAATTTTGTGTAGATAAAGTGTGTCCACTGTCATATTGGAGTGATATTAACATAATAAGTCTCTTTTTTTCTGATGTTAAAATAGGATCCAAATCCCTCCCATTTTGAGTAATGTGTATAATCATATCAACAAGACAGGACGTGAGCAACGCAAATGGGAATAAAAGATCTGTGTTGAGCTTTCTGTGATCATCAATCTTTATCAAATGTGATCAAGAATGAGTTTTACAATTGCAAAAAGTTTACAATGTTTTGAGAACATTTGCAATGCAGTTAAGACAGTAAAATCAATTTAATTCATCACCACAGCCGCATGAAGAAAGAAAGAAAGAAAGAAGGAAGGAAGGAAGGAAGGAAGGAAGGAAGGAAGGAAGGAAGGAAGAAAGACAGACAGACAGACAGACAGACAGACAGACAGACAGACAGACAGAAAGAAAGAAAGAAAGAAAGAAAGAAAGAAAGAAAGAAAGAAAGAAAGAAAGAAAGAAAGAAAGAAAGAAAGAAAGAAAGAAAGAAAGAAAGAAAGAAAGAAAGAAAGAAGGAAGGAAGGAAGGAAGGAAGAAAGAAAGAAAGAAAGAAAGAAAGAAAGAAAGAAAGAAAGAAAGAAAGAAGGAAGGAAGGAAGGAAGGAAGGAAGGAAGGAAGGAAGGAAGGAAGAAAGAAAGAAAGAAAGAAAGACAAAAAAGAAAGAAAGAAAGAAAGAAAGAAAGAAAGAAAGAAAGAAAGAAAGAAAGAAAGAAAGACAGAAGGGAAGAACGAAAGGAAGAAAGAAAAAAGAAAGAACGATTTGCTGTTGTTTGTAAATGCAGTTTATGCCCATGCAATCTCATTCTACATTTGTTTGACATCTGCAATGAATGAACATCATCCTTACCTGGGTGAAGCCGTTCTCTGCTAGCTCTTGGTGGAGTTTGTTGAGAGCCAGTTTTCCTGCCGTTATTCCAGAGTGTAAGTTCACCTCCCTGCCAGAAGAGGGCAGTGCATCAGGATTCCACTTGGGGTAGAGACGCTCTTCCTTCACAACTGAAATCTGAACAAAAGCTAAATTGGTTAGCTTTAATAATGGTAGACACTAAACATAGCAACTGCGTACACATAAACATAAAATTAAAAAAGATAATAAGAGACGCATACTGCAGCAGTTGCCACAGCCCAATCATAGGCGCAATAGCATGTCTGTTATGGTAACTTAAAATATGTTTTACTAATGAACATTTTACTAATGTTTTACTAATTGCAGTAACACCTATCCAAACATGGAAGCAGTACATACACAAACTACATACAAACATAAGCTTGTAAAGTTTTTATATAGCCTATTTCTAATTAAAAAATATGGAAAGTTGCAATTTACTAGTTTAATTTCCTTACATGGGCATTATGTTGTTAACATTAGGTTTAGTTCAACACACAGTTCAGATTTTTTTATTATAATGTGTTAAAAAGTGTAATTTTGGAGGTGTGTACACAACTCGCTGTTTTAGGGACATGTTGCTTCACATGAAAATTGATTTCGGCTTCCTGCCCATCGTAAGAAGGGGGCGGAGCCAAGAGCTCCCCCCACTCTGTGTTTGCAACAGACAGGCAGACAGAGAGAAGTGACATGAGCGAGAGAACCAGCATTCAGCCGTACATGTACGACTCGGACACAGACCAGGTAGAGAGTATCAAAATCATCACATGAAGTGTCCCGAATCGTTGCGCTACGCAGCGCCATGTATTTTAGAATTCTAAACATAGGTTTCTATCAGGGTACACACAACGGCGCTTCAATACACTATACCTACACACGTCTGTCCAAACAGCTTGAAAAGAAAGTAGATTTTTCACCATAGGTGCCCTTTAAATGTAATGTTTCATGTAATAAATTAATGCTTATGTGCCTGACTTAACCTTAACAAACAAATCATAATATTACATTGGAATGTGATCCACTTACATTGTATTTACAGAATTTTTACAAACTACAATTTGTGACCCAGTGTGTGAAAACCAGGCCAAATCTAATTCTGAGATTAAGTTTAAATGTAGCCATTCATTCCACTGTGGTTTCAGTTGTTGACACAGTTTTACTCCGTTAAGAATAAATACATAGATTTTTATTATTTTTAGCATTATTTATCAATTAACCTAAATATTGTTACTAATGATTACACTGGTCAGTACCATGTCTGCTTTGGGAGAGACTTGGGGTACAAAGAACTGTCTGACTATGCTTTGATTTTTGTGAGCTCTTTCATTGCGGGAATGCTGCTCTCCGGAAGCATGTTGTTGCACGTCTACCAGATCCGCAAGAGCCACAGAACGCTCTCTGATAAATTGTAAAGCCAGGTATCTGTTTCCTCCCACTCTCTGCTATACTTTTGCAGTCAATTTTTAAACTCTGAAACTTTCAGATGGAGGTGTAACCTGGAGAAGCATCTGCCATTACTCTCTGTCAAGACTTGACAGACTCCGCCTAAAAGACCCGCCCTGCTCACTGGACAAAGACCAATCAAACTATCGATGACATCAAGAATTACCCAATCAAAAGTAGGAAATGAGGCATCTTCATAAAATGCGTGTGGGATGATTGTATGAAAAGCTACTTTAAAAAAAAATGTCAAAACCCGTCCCGTATTGAGTCAAAACAGAATGCGCAATTTTTTTCTCAAATACGGAACGATTCTGTATTTTAAGCGACGGGTGGCGATCCTAGCTGGTGCCCCAGTAAAAATCGTCAGTGGCTCGAACCAGCGACCTTCTTGCTTTGAGACGACAGCACTACCTACTGCGCCACTGCATCACCGACTGACATTCTGTTAAGACTAATGTTTTGTTTATCGTTTAAAAAATCTATTGGTAAAAGAGCTTGTATGTTTAAAGGTCCAATAGATTGAAACAATTTACCTGCTAACATTTGATCCATTACATCATTTAAGGTTTTTAAGCAAATTTTGCTATCATATTTTACTTTGGATTGTAGTTGTTTTTTTATGTTTTTAAATGTATATATACAGTTGAAGTCAAACTTATTAGCCCCCCTTTGAAATTTAGTATTAATTACTATCATAACAAATTACTATATAATGCAGTAATTTATAGTAGTACATACTAAATAACATACTAATGCATCTTAACATGCTACTTCTCAAGGTATGGTCACGAGGAATTAGACGTCATTATTGGACACAATAATGACAAAGTAATGTCCTTAGACGCTGGCTATACTTTCATTTTGATCACCTGACATCACAACCTAAATCTTACCTAACTTTAATGTCTTGTGTGCCTCCAGGACAATAACTGAATTCACTACAGACTGTAACGTTTACACACATCCACATATTACATGTAAATGCATCAGCTTTTTACAGCGCAATACTAACTACTCACGAGTCCTTGTGAAAGGTCTACTTTTTATTAATACTTTGAGTAATATTTACAACAGATACTGTTACTCTACTTGCACTACAATTTTAGGCAAGTAATGGTACCTTTACTTGAGTGTAATTTTTCTGTACTCATTCCACCACTGGTACCAACTATGTTTAAGAATGTAATTTCAGGACAAACCACAGGTATACCCTAAAGGCAGATACCCTTGGCAAAAAAAGGGAAACCCTTTGTCACGGATGAAAGGGAAAAAAAAAAAAAAAAAACAATAACATGAAAGCGTTTGTTTTTGTGAAAATACTGACCCAGATATTTATAAGAACTCTGTGCAAGTTCGAGGATTAGCAAACATGTCTAGAGGGATTTTTATTGAGGTGGTGCACTGAGGTGACAGAACCAAGGATGCTGATTACATTCATTGAATAGATGTAAATGATATTTGTAAATGCCTTCTTAAATTACATCAAGAATGAAGAGGATAAAGAGCAAGTAATGTAATATGGTGTTTATGTTATGCGAATTGAAGCTGAAGACTAAAAAAATGTCAAAAGTATGGTATGGTTTCAAATATCCCAATTAAGGGGTTTTAGGAGAGAGAACTGGATACAATTATTGATTTAGAGACTGTCTGGGAGAATTGTTTTGTAACTTCAAAAACCCCAGCTCATCAATTAATTCATTATAAATAATTTTTATGGCTTATGCTACCCCTACCTGTTATTTAAAATGAAAAGATATTCAGACCCTTTTTGTCACTTATGCAACAACTCTTTAAGTTGTTTGTTTGTTTGTTATAAGTATGTTCTGGGAATGTCCCCAAATTGCATTATTCTGGTCCAAGGTACGAGACCTACTATCCGAGTTAATGGAAACTCAGATCCAATGCGACCCATTGCTATTTCTCATGCTGGATGATTTATCACTCTCCTTATCCATCAACCAAAGAAGGATTCTGTCAGTTGTTCTGACTGCTGAAAAACAAAAAACAATCCTGAAAATATGGATGGATCCATCTGCTTCGGTTGATTTATTGTGGAGGCTCTATCTACTTCACATTATCAGTTTAGAGAACACCACAGCCAAAATAAATGGTGCCAGTAAAAAAAAAAAGTACAGTTTTGGTCAAATATGAGCGAGACTGTATCAGATCTGTTTTAATCCTGATTTTGTACCTATTATTACAGTACTACTGTTTTTATTTTATTTTACTTTTTTGTTGTTGAGTAAATCTCAGGCCTTGCTCAAAATCAAAATGTTCAATAAAAAAAAAAATTAACAAAAAAAAGTTTGGGGTGGTCACGTTTATTTTTTAATTTTCACAGTCTTTTGACTTTTGATAATACACTCTAAATATTATTATTGTGAATTTACAATAAAAGTTAATACAGCTGTTTCTGTTAATATTTTAAAATGACCACGATACATTTTTTCAGGATTCTTTTCTTTTTCTGGATTCCTTGTGAAAATAAATCGTTTTAACATTATAATAGTCTTTTCTTCAACTTTAGATCTATTCAGTGCAAATTTAAACTTTAGTAATGACCTTATTCTTTCATGCAAGAGCATGTATGGCCATTGTAACCTAATTGTGTTGAGAATTCTGGTCTCATTCGTTTCCATTCATTTTTAGCCATAAAAACAGGCTGTTAATGCTACCTGATGCACCAAACTGATATTTTCTTATTATATTATTTAACTGTTCATGTATGTCATGAACACACTGCAAGCACTTTGACTATTTACTGCCACTTCTTAGTCATTTCCCCTATAGCCAAAGAAATCAGAAGTCCTAAAACAATCACAGTAAAGAGCTTACTTCCACATTGCTAAATAAGTTGAATATATAATGTCACAAAAAAACAGGATGAAGTAAGACAATGGTTATGATCTGTCAATTACTAAGCAATAAAGTGACCTTAGGTCTTCTTCAGTTTATTTTGGATCATGACACATTGAGTCATGGTCACCTGTGTGTTAATTATACAATAACTATTGAACTTTTTAAAATAATGATAGTTTGTGTAATATACATGAAAGATTCAATGAATCACATTCATATATTTAATTTAATTACAAAACATACATAAGTTTTTAGTGTTTAGTGGAAAGATTTATGAATGTTTTGACCTACAGTAACGTAGCCCATGTGATGGGTTATTTGCTTAGCCCATCTGAAGGACTATTTCAACAGATGTGATTCTCAAAGACTAACTATTTCCTCGAAATTCAAGCCTGAATTTCGGATAAAAATTAAATCCTATTTTTACCTGGTGAGGGACGAGCTCATCATATCCTCTAGTGCTGCCTGAGGCGCAGCAGGCCATAGAGACAATAGCAGAGCTGGGCAGAGCATCATATGCTGAACGAACCTACAAGACAACAATTAGACCTTTCATATTAAAAAAATGCATTGCCAATATGTATATGCTCTTTGTCTTTAAAGGTCTTGCTGACCTGAATGGGACACTCGTTGTCATGAGTGACGTCCAGAAACATGGCGTGAGCAATTGACGGTTCTAACGGCCTGAGGTTTGGCTGGATGAATGACCCAACAGGCTCTCCTCCGAACCGATAGACCAGTCGACCCTCCTCATGACTGTTTCCAGCACTCATAGCCTCTGGCGAACAACATATCTCCTCAGTAAATGGTATAAAAAAGTCAAACTTTACATGGCTGGGTTTGTGATGCTGTATTATTATTTTTGGATACCACTATAGACAATTTTTATACTTTTACTTTGTAATAAGTCTTAGTCAGTCTCTTTGTGAACTGTTGACCTACAGTTGCAATCAGAATTATATAGCCCTGCTTTGATTTTTTTTTCTTTTTTTAAATTTTCACAGCATGTCTGATACTATTTTTTCTGATTCTTATTTCTGAAGTCTTATTATTTTATTTCAGCTAGAATAAAAGCAGATTTAATTTTTAAACACCATTTTAAGGTCAAAATAGTTAGTCT